TGGGCGAGAAGTTAGCCATCGCTGACCTCTTCCTAGTTTTGGTCAGATTTCTGCAGTCGACTCAAGACTACGATATAGTCCTCGACAGTCATAATGGTATTGATGGCGACCCTAAAGTTTCCGAAGCCTATGCCCCTAAAGACTACAGAATCTGCTTTAATAAAAAATAATTTTAACTAGATAACTATATAATATTAGTTATCATGTCATATTTTATTCATTGTTTTTCATATACTTAACATTATGTTAAAATTTCATTTAATATTTTGTTTGATTTAATTATAATGAGTATATTAAAAAATAAATTTGTCAATAATATTACACTTAATCGTCAAATTCTTGTAATTAGGGATTAGTGATTAGTGATTAGTGATTAGTGATTAGTGATTAGTGATTAGGGATTAGTGATTAGGGATTAGAATTTCACAGATGTTACAATAAATAATGTTTGCTACTATTAATGAACAGGTAGTGCATGTTTATAACATGTTATGACAGTTATATTATGTAATCATCGATTTCAAGGCTTTGATGATAAGCTGAAAATGTTTGGGAAAATAAAGGTTTTTCACAAATCGTTAGCTTTACGTTGGATTAATTTAGTACTATATATAATACAAGTTAATCGTAATGAAATAAATGTTAGTATTCAACAAACTAATATTGAATAGTATCAACACATGCTAATTTAAAAATATAATTTATTTATTACTATTTTTTACTTTTTAAAATTTAATATAAAAATGTATTTATTCTCATTAATATATAATTTTTTATTTGATGATATTTATACGACAATTATAACTACAATCATTGCCCTGGTTGTTTATAATTTCGCTAAATTTTATGGACGCTTATTCACACTCCCTGCTGGTCCCATACCGGTGCCATTCTTTGGCAATACTTTATGTGAGTAATTTAACATTTCAAATGATAATGTCAAAATAATTGCACAAAATGTATCATGCTAGTATTCCGGAGTGAACATCACTGGGATGTAGTGATAAAACAAATGCGAGACAAATACGGACCGGTATTCACCTTCTGGATGGGACCCAAACCATTCATATTCATGACTGAGATCGAGACGGCACGGGAGGTGTTCATGAAAAGCGAGTTCGCCGGTAGACCCGACTCCTATTTCGGTGCTGTGTTTGTCGTCATATTTTTATGCAGTCTTTATAACCTTATGTATGAACAGGGAGTCAATTGTCAAACGATAAGTACTCGGATGTGGTGTTCGCAGACTTCGGCCACAAATGGGAGTCTCTGAGACGGGTCGCCCACTCAGCCGTTCAGTAGGTCTTACTTTATCACTCGTTTTATGTGTAATATTTAGATTTGTTTTCTTCAGTAATTTGTATGCATTTTATGTGAAACAGAAAGTTTGCCACAAATGATAGACTCGTAGATATGGTGACTGATTGTGTGGACAGAACTGTCAAACTAATGATCGATAAGGAGGGTATTGGCCAACCATTCGTACCACTCGATTATATTTACCACCTTTTCCTCAATATACTGGCCACCAGTGCTTTCGGACACAGGTATGCCTATTATTTATGCATTTTATGTACAGTATTATTAAAGTACCGTAAGTTATACAAATAATTGATACCGTAATAATCTTTTTAAAAAAGTTTAAATACTTTAGTACCTTAGTACTTTAGTAACTTTAGTAGTTTAAATACTTATAGTTTAAATATGTTGACCGGTTGACCACATTACTAATAATATTCGGAGTCTATAGTGAAGTATGTTTTAAATTTATGAATAGCTATGATATGGAGGACAAGGAATATAAACAAATAAAATACGTTTTGCGAGACTTTGGACGCGAAGCCGGAAATCGGTTTAGTTTATGGGAGTTCTCATCACTCATACGACTCTGGGATCGGAAGTTAGTCCGAAAACAGCGACAAATCATTGAAGACGTAAAGGATTTGATTAGACATAAGTATCACAACCACTGCAATGACTACTCGGATGGTATTGAGAGAGACTTTTGTGATGCACTCATAAGTGCTAAGAATGAGGCCCTCAGAGAGGGTAAAGAGTCGGTCCCTTATCTCACCGATGATAACCTATCTATGATTATATACGACCTATTCTTCGCCGGTAATGACACCACTCAGCGTACGTTTCAATGGATAATACTTCTGTTGACATACTATGGCCTTCACGTCGCTTTCAACTCTGTTCTCTAACTCTGTGTTTAGCCTCTGGCTTACGGTTGTGTACTCCTGTCCTTAGCTACGGTAATACAGTACCGAAAGTAGCGACTCTGGGACTCCAAGTCTTATGTGGCCCGTTTTGGGGTCACCCATAAGACTGTGGTCGACACTAAAATAGGTATCACTTAATCATAAACTTGAAGTACATTTTTATTTAGTTATTACCTTATAATAGGCGATCTGTTTGTATCGAAAGGGACTGACGTTGCCTTATATCAGGGAATTATATTGGATTCATCACAATATTGGTTAAATCCTAACAGATTCACACCCTCCAGATTTCTGGACAGTGAGGGCCGGTATATGACTACCCGTCCAAACCGCATGTAGGGCAAGCCACACCCTGCTGCACAAACAAACCCGCTCTTCAATCGGTAGCGACTGGAGAAGGATCAAAACCAGTCTAAAGACGTCAGCTGAGTTCTGATGCTATATCAGGAGCTGTCACATAGTGGTATTGATCCGGATCCTAATATCGCAGAATCATTTGTTCCTAAAGAATATAAAATTAGTTTTAGAAAAATAAAATGATATTAATTATGTATTACAATGATTACAATTTTTTATTTATATTAATTAAGTTATAAATAATAAATTATCTAATCATTAGATTCTAATGCATAATAATAACCATAAGTATTGTATGTATTGTTAGTATTATACTATTTTCCCAAAAAATCTCACAAAAGTCTATACTAGAGATCTATTTCAGTAAATATTAAGCAATTATAGTTGATATGACGACCAAATGTTATGGTAACATACGGTTTAATAATATGTTTGCTTTTCTGATAATATTTTTGTTATTGTGTCAAAAATAGTTAATAAATTACATTAATTAATAATTAACTAAATAACATTACTATAAATACCATATGTTTGCTCAACATTAACATTAAAATACTAACACTATTTGCGTAATTTTATAACAAAATAAGTTTTATACTCTGTACAGAATAGTGCATGGATACAAAATTGTTTTTAATATGTTAATTTGTTATACGTTTTAATAAAGTTAATTATAATAAAATAGTCCTCGACAGTCATAGTGGTATTGATCCGGATCCTAATATCGCAGAATCATTTGTTCCTAAAGAATATAAAATTAGTTTTAGAAAAATAAAATGATATTAATTATGTATTACAATGATTACAAATTTTTATTTATATTAATTAAGTTATAAATAATAGATTATCTAATCATTAGATTCTAATGCATAATAATAATCATAAGTATTGTATGTATTGTTAGTATAATACTATTTTCCCAAAAAATCTCACAAAAGTCTATACTAGAGATCCATTTCAGTAAATATTAAGCAATTATAGTTGATATGACGACCAAATGTTATGGTAACATACGGTTTAATAATATGTTTGTTTTTCTGATCATATTTTTGTTATTATGTCAAAAATAGTTAATAAATTACATTAATTAATAATTAACTAAATAACATTACTATAAATACCATATGTTTGCTCAACATTTACATTAAATTACTAACACTATTTGCGTAATTTTATAACAAAATAAGTTTTATACTCTGTACAGAATAGTGCATGGATACAAAATTGTTTTTAATATGTTAATTTGTTATACGTTTTAATAAAGTTAATTATAATAACAAAGCATTACTTTAAACTTATTTAAATACTAGTGTTTATCATAAAAAGTGTTGTGAATAAGTGAAATATATTTAGTATAATAGTGTATGGGATGGGAAGGTAGGGTAGAGTGAAGGACCGGGAGTTTAAAACACTTTTGCTTAGCATAGCTTTTTCGTGTGGCCTTGGAGTTGGTATAAGTGATATACACTACAAGATCTTTGGTGGTGCCATGTATTGAGCGGTCATATCGTGTATCGAAAGTGCATTTTGTAAACACTTTTACACACATAACACACATACATGTGATGAGACACCACATCCATGTCCGACACACACCGTCACCAGAAGAACCTGATCTCTGTTTACCGCAAACGGATCGGTAGTTTTTGTGGACATCCACTTCACCGGTGTTTGCATTCATTTGTAATGAATTTATGTTTATTTTAGGCGAAAATGATTTGAAGAAAAGAGACAAACATTTCTCAAAACAACGAAAACTATCGGAGAAAGAGTCGGATATCGCGGACACTAAGCATAAGGTTTGTCTCAAACTTTTAATTTTGTGTTTAATTATTGAGTTTTGAATTAATTTTCACTCTTATTATAGTTATCGCAGTCGTTGATCTCAGTCATCGCTATATTTTGTGTCTTTTATTTAATTTATGTATTTTTAACTAATATTATTTAATGTGATAAATACAATATATTGATTAAACATGTAATTATTTATCAATGTAAGATATTGTAATAAAATTACAATTAAATTAATTTAAAACTATACTTGTTTAGTTGTTTGACAATGAGATAAACAACACTTACGGTACTTACATGCCAAATATAAATACAGTATATTATTTACAATACTGTAGTGTTTTGTAGTATTGCATTGAATATACCAATAAATACAATATTTTGACATTCTTAAAATCAATGTTATATAATACTGTACTGTATTTAATTTGTATTGAAATACAATTCAATTTGACGATATAAATAAATAATGATGATTAGTAAAATGAGCTCATAATAAAATACATAAAACTTGTAAAGTTATATAACTTTCTCAATATTTAAACAATTAACACCTCTGTTGTCAATTTCAAACCACTTCACCATTTGGTTTGTTTATCTTGTTAGATGTAATTATAAATAATAGCCAGTAAATTGCAATAGAGATTAACGTTGAATAATACCAAGGTTATGAACATCAGCTAATTAGAGTTTAGACCAGACATGAGCAGAAGTATTTTGTGTGTATATTCTTATAATTAGCCCAGCTTAATTAATGTTATATTAATTAAATTTTTTATAAACCCTTTTATTAGTTGTGTCTACTACACTGACAAAGGTAGTAAATATTAAAAGGTATTTAAATATTAGGGTAAGTATTGGAAAAGTTCTTCAAGATATTTTTGATAACTAGAATATCATTTATTCAGTAACCGAGCTAGATTTAGTAATAATACAGTATTTAAACCTCAAATATGGTTTACTTGCATATGTATAGTACAGTATCTAATAAAATGATACTGGTAGTCATATGAACTGAAGTACTTTAAACACTGTGCCTTGGTTTATACTATCCAAGGTCTTCTATTCGATGATTTCATATAAAAGTAGTGAAACTTGCATTTAGCTAAACACAATCAAACATTTTCTGATTAATGTTTGTTTCATTTGAATGAGTTTTTGTTATAACAGTGTTTACTATCAGTTAATATGTCTGTATTGACACAATTATTGTCTATATTAACATCGGATATTCGTACGACCCTTATATCACTGGTAATCGGGTACATAGTGTATAGAGTAGTCAAGTTTTATCACTACAGATCCACATTACCTCCCGGTCCACACCCACTCCCTTTACTCGGAAATATTTTATGTGAGTTATCAAATATTAACAAATACACATAAATACTTCTAAAGTGTGCTTGATGATCACTGAACAGTGTTCAAGTCGCCCCTACATTGGGATGAGGTGTTCCGGAATGTGACCAAACAGTACGGCCCGGTATTCACGTTCTGGTTCGGGACTACACCGCAGGTTATTGTGACGGACAGTGAGTTAGCCCGCGAGGCTTTCCGCAAGAATGACTTCGCCGGCAGAACTGATTCCTATTTCGGTATAAAAATATTTATTTTAAATTAAATTTGATTGCATTAAACATATGTATACTTAATCAGGCAGTCAGTTCTCTAACGATGAGTTTACGGACGTAATTATGGCTGATTATGGCCACGAGTGGGAGGCTTTGAGACGGGTCGCCCACTCGGCTATTCAGTACGTGTCGTAGATTTTTATAATGTTTACTACGGATCAGTGATTAATTGAAATAAAAATTATAGGAAGTACTCGTCAAATGATAAATTAGTGTATTTAGCCAATGAGTCGGTCGACCGGACGGTGAACACCATAATAGAGAAGGAAGGGCTGAACAAACCGTTTGTACCGCACGAGTATATATTCCTAATGTTTCTCAACATTCTGGCTACCAGTGCCTTTGGACAGAGGTATGTATAATTATATACCTTTTATTGAGTTCAATAATTTCGATCAATTATAATGTCTTATATATATAGCTATGATTTAGAAGACAAGGAGTTTAAAGAACTTAAATATGGGATCAAAGACTTTGGACGCGAAGTCGGCGGAAGGATTTTGTTGTGGGAATTCTTACCTATAATTCGTGTATTGGATAGAAAAATGGTTAAAAAACAAAAGGCTGTGACAAGAGGTGTCATCGACTTAATTAGACATAAGTTTGTCTCTCATTACTCGGACTACTCGGAGGATATTGAGAGAGACTTTTGTGATGCACTCATAAGTGCTAAGAATGAGGCCCTCAGAGACAACAAGGAATCGGCCCCTTATCTCATTGATGCCAACCTATC